GGGCCGGGCGGGGGCCGCGCCATGTCGGGCAGCGGCTGCACCTTCGAGGACCGGAGCGTGGCCGTGCTGTGCTGCCGCTTCTGCCAGCAGGTGCTGAGCTCGCGCGGCATGAAGGCCGTGCTGCTGGCGGACACCGACGTCGACCTCTACTCCACCGACATCCCTCCCTCGGGGTAAGCACCGCCGCCCCGCCTCGCCCCCGGGGCCTCCTAGAGCCGCGGTTCCCCCCGAGAGGGGCCGGCGAGGCCCCCACCGGCGTCCCCTTCCCCTAAAAACACCCCTCGGTTCCGTCCTGTCAGCGCAACGGCTCCAAAAATGTGCTGATTCAACCCGATCTTCCCTGCGTCGTCCCGCTGGGCTCCCCTTCGGCGCCGAGGGAACCAAGAGGGACGAGGAGAGCAGCGCCGCCCCTTGTCTGCTCCTCCGAAGACTTAAATCTCCCGGCGGGGGGAGATGCAGGAGCAGAAAAATCAAGCCGAGTCCCTCCTGCCCTTCGCTCAAGCGAAGATGAGCACGGGGAATAACCCCTAAACAGCACCAACCCGCTCCCGCTCCGGAACAGCGATACGCTCCGCGCGGGGCGCGCGCTGCTTTCCCATAACACTGTTTGAATACTACGAAAATAAGATTGCAAAATGGCATGCTAATATGGAAGCATGGGTTTATTAGAAAAAAAAAAAGGAGATAAGATATCAAAGGTTTGTTTTTAAATGCCCTAGCCTTTAAACGGTTGTTCTGCAGCTGAGACTTGCCAGGAACTAGGGCGACATCTAGAATCAGATTTCTGGCCGATGAAGTGGCACAGGCAGCAGCAAGGCCCTAGCGCGTGGGAGCCAGTGAACACTAAGAGAAGCGGTGCTTTCTGGGATATTTTGAGAGGGCTTATGGTGCCTTAATGTAACGTCTCATGGGTCTCTTCTTGTTTCCATTTGAGTATAGCTGGTGACTGATAGGAAAAAGCACTTGTGTGCTCTTGGGTAAGTTTAAAGAAAACACACACAAGACTAAAGTTAACACCAGTCTGTTGTGACTTTAGACCTGTATCATCAAAAACTTAAATCTGTAATCACAGCTGTATCTAAACTTTCGCATTACCATTTTCTTCCCATCCAGGACTGTTGACTTTATTGGAAGCTGCTATTTTACTGAAATCTGCAAATGCAAACTGAAGAACATTGCATGTTTAAAATGGTAAGGATGTCACTCAATAAGTACTAACACCTGCTCAAGCATGCACCTACTGCAGCAATACTACTTAACTTTCACTATTGACTACTGCAGTACAAGAGTTAAGGAATGAACAGATTGCATTCCCTATTTCAAGTTGTATTTAATGCTGCTCAGTAGAAGCTCAGCCCATTACTTCTGGGCATGGCTGCCAGTCTATTTCTGTGCAAGTCCCAAGTGGAAATGTGACAACCTTGTCAATAGTCTGAGTATATGGGAAAGCTTGCATGCCACCTGCCTGATTAAATGTCTGCTTCAACACAGAGATAATTGTGTGAATAAGGCCACAGTAAGTAGTAGTTACTCATATTCTAATTAATAGAACATCCTCTTGGCAGATCTAGTTGTCACTAGCAGATGGAAGATGCTGTCACTAAAGTTCTTGGAGTTCTTTTATCCTTTTTATTAAGGCCTGATATTTAAGATTCAAAACAACAACTCTGGTAACATATTTCACTTGGAGTTATTCAAGAGGATGCTAATAACCAAGACCTTGTTCAGATTTAAGTACAGAAGGTTTGTGGTAGGAATACAATATTTTGTTTTAGGTAGAAGTAGAGAAATGAAAATATTACTCAAGTGTATGATTGAGAAAGTAGGAGACCTGTCATCCTAGGTTTTAACCTAAGAGAGTAGATAAGGCTTTGGTATTCTCAGTCTGCTACTTCTGATATTTTCTCTCATGCACAGAGCTTCTATACAGATGCATTGTACATGCATGTTAAAGCACTTCTGCATGGATTCCAGCAGAATCACTGACCTCTAAAAAAAGATTTGGTTTGGTGGTATGTAAACTAGTCTAGATTACACAATTTAGGTTACAAAATGGTTCTCTATGCCAAAGATCCAAAACTTACATATTCTGCAACTCCTGCAGATGTTCTCTTAAATATTTAAGATTGTTTAGTAACATTCCCTAACTTTATCAAAATAGTAGCATTACATAAGTCTGGTACAACAGCTATTTAACATTAATCCGAGCTGGAAAACCAACAACTAGCTTTTTGTTAGGAATTGTGTCACTCATTATTTCACTTGTCTTTCTAGTGGTAACATTGTAGGTTATCACGTTATTTCTCCATGCAAACCTTGCCTGCTGTCCTGTAATAACGGCCACTTCTGGATGTTTCATAGCCAAGCAGTCTTTGGCATCAACAGACTAGATCCTTCTGGTAAGGAATACATTTCTTTTTCTTCCCTAAAATGTTGAATTCAGAGTCCTCTTTTTAATGAGGCATCTCAATATAGTTAAAGCATATGGAGGGAGTACAACATACGGAGGGATAAGGCAAGTGTTACTTTATTGCCAATCTAGCAAACTATTTTGTAGGAGGCAGTTGTAGCAACTTTGCAAATGTAAAATTCTAAGTGCAGATTAATATTCAGCAGAGAACTTAACTCTGCCCCTTTTTTTGTGGACAGAAGTCAGAATTTTCTGAAACAATATTATAACTAGTATAAACAACCACCACAAGCTGCTATTTATAGCAGTACATATAGCTTTACTGTGCTATCAGGCAGCTGTCCAAGGGGCACTCTTTCTGGGTGAGTCATGTTGTCACTCTGACCCTATATAACTGAGTTCCCATTAGCTCAAGCTGAAGTTACAGCTCATGTTAGCTGCTTTAATCAGATGCATGTTGTTTGGATGCCAAGGGTCTAGCATCATTTGCCTCGATTCCTCAGGGGTGCATAGCATTCTGACAAATCATTTCTCTTCCTTGTACATGAGATTAACTTATTGTCTAAACCTTTCAATGTCACCTATGTTTCAGGTCAATGCATTTAAAAATAAATCAGGCATGAGGGGATTATCAATAGCTACATGAATTCTTTTGTGGGCAGGGACCTAAACAACAATATTTACAAGATCACTTTGGAAGAAAAATAGGAGATAGTCCAGATATTTTTAACATGAACTTGACTTACAAGGTTTTGTAATGATGAGAGCAGTTATTTTCTCTAAAAATAGTCAGTTGTGCAACTTAAAAATCAGGTCACATTCCAAAAAAAATCTTCCTCTTCCTCCTTTCTTACTTCCCTCCTACCAGGTGTGAATGTATTGCTCTGGGGCAACTTGCCAGATTTGGAGGAAAGCACAGATGAAGATATGTCATGCATCTCTGAGGAAGAATATATCAGATAAATGTTATCTGCAATATACTTCAGTGTCTTCCCTTGTTACATTGCATTGCTGTTTCTTTAGGGCATTTTTTGTTTTGTATTTTCCTGCTGGCCCAGAACTCAAAAATATAGGAAACTAGGTAATCTGGAAAACAATCCTAAAAAAGGAAGATACCTTCCTGTTTCACTGTAGCCTCTCAGGCTCTTGCTTCTGCCTATGTGCATATCATTGATGATCAAAGACACTCCCTGGTCAGATCCATGTCTTTCATATCTGAACAGGCAGATGGCAGGTACAGTTTCTGAGGTCTGGCTTGTTCTTTGAAGTCTCAAGCAGTGGATATTTCTTTTTACCTGTACTTTTTTCTTCTTTCTTGAAAGCATTCACAGGGCCAAGTCTTACAGTCACTACAAACACAGCTTAAAAATCTTGAGAAATAGTTAATCTGGTTGACTATGATGCTCTGAAAGTGCTTTGCTTTTGGGATCACACAGATCCTTGCTGCCTAGAACTTCCATTCTGAGTATGCAGAGCTGCTGAACAAGTGGCTTGAAGTACAGGAGCTGTGGCTCTATAATCTGACTCTTGCTTTTAACAGTTTGTTCTTTAAGCATTTGAGGCATGCTAGGATACTCCTGAATGTGGGACTGTAGAGCTATCATACTGAGTCTTCCTACCTTCTTCTTTCAGTACCTCTAGGATCATGTTTTGGTAAAGATCAGATTGATTTTTCTTGATGGAACTTAAATACTGAGGTTAATTAATGCCTGGTGTAACCTCAGGATTACACTGGAGTTTTCATTAATGTCAACAATAAAATCCATCCAGTTTTGTGTGTTTTTTCCCTTAAAGGATAGAAATCCCTTCAAAAGGGAATTCAATGATGGAAATGGGTGCCCTTCTAGGGGGAAAAGGTTGGATATGCAGTGTTCCTGCCTAGCCTTACATACTGCAGCATACAGACAATCTGGTTCCTGTAAAAATAACTGTTTCTCTGAGTTATTACAGTCATAGTATTTAATTTATGAACTAAATATTGTCCCCTTCAGCTAGCTGCTTGAAGGAATATCCTTGGAAAATTAAAGTTACAATCATATGAGAACAGACTATATTTTTAAGCTGAGATTGATGCTGAAGAAATCACTGTTTAGCCTCATGTGATTCTTTGAAGAGCTGTAGCAAAGGCAGATATGAATTGTGTTAATATTTTTTTACTGTGTTATGTATTTCTTAATGGTACTACCTCTTCTGCACTGTTTAAATATGTATTTGTATGTGTGCATGTGTATAGTTTCTTCTCCTTTGTGTATATATGCCATGTTTTAACTTCCTGTGTTATATCTGGTCATTAAATGAGTTTCATACTAAGCATGCTTCTGTGCTGTAATAATTATAGATGTGTAATGATATCAGTTGCATAATCAAAACAATGAAACAGCACTATGCACCAAAATTAAACTCATTGAATAATTAGGCTCTTACTACTCATTTTATTTTAGAGACTAGTCACCACCTTTTTAGGTGAGAAAGCTGCCACTATCTGTCTTAACTGAAAAAAGGTGTCTAGTTAGTTAAATCTTGTGTAACAATATTCCACACTTGACAGTTTTCAATGCTGCATGAATTAGATCATATTGTGGCTGCAGCATTAAGTTAGCAAGGTGACATCTAACACAAAGATTTTCCAACAGAATTTGTGAGCTTACAGTACAGGTAGCATAATATTTCAAGTAACATTCCCATAATATAATTCTGCTTTGTTGCAAGTTCAGCACTTGTCATTTTTAACCTTCCGAAAACTTAGAATTGACTCAGAGTTGTGAAGCTATGTCAGTGGCAGAGCTGACTGTAGAGCTGTCCTTACTCCTTACCTCTGGAGAAATACAGAACTATAGTTTCTTCTCAGTGAATCAATAATTCTCTGCTTTTGCTATCTATATGTTCATACACATAGAACTGGAAATTCTACTATGAACTATAATTACACAGGCCTGTTTGAGCTAGTTCATCTCAACCAGGCATCAGCTTGAAATAAAGAATGAGCCAACTCTTAAGTTTCATCTTTTTGGTAAAGTAGTTGTATGTGTTATATACAATGTAAACAAGCATCACCTATTGCCCCAGCTTTTCTGAATGTTATCCAATAAGCTAATCCCATCTAGGACTATTTCTGTTCTTTCTATATGAAATGAAGAGACCTGAATAAGCAGCTTGTGGTAAAGCTATTACTCCCGAATCACAGGGCCTCCAGTGTTTTAGGTTAAGTTTCCAAAGATCACCTTGCATAGAGAAAGACTTAAGTTGATAGGCATAATTAACATTAAATAGATGGCACAACACTGGATCAATATTTCTAGAAACCTTCCTGAGTACTTCAACCCAACCAATGCTTCATTTGAAATAAAATGACATAGGCCTCTACATTCTTCATGGTTTTTGTTTTCTCTGTACTCTTTTGTACAGGACCCGGATGTTGTAGCACTACCCTAGAATCTTTTGTAAATCATTTAGAAGGTCATAGTTACAAGGTATTTGATATAACAACACTGAACATTAAGATATGTAGCTTCCAAAATGGAAAGGATCAACAGGATTCAACTTCCTGCTGGAGCTATTGTCAGTCTAAAAGAAAAACTAGGTATCTGTTGCCATCTTTGGTAAGTATTTTTACACTGAAAGTTTACATGATCTTCTCTATGCAACCAATGAGGCCGAAAGCAGAGCATAAAGCTGAAAAACAAGAACCAAGACCTAAGGCCTTTCTCCTCTGCTGATTATGGTACACAAGGCAAGTTAATTATAAGAACTGCAGTGCTCTGATCAGATCTGGTTTTATTTAAACAGGACTGAACACCAGGCAAAAGGTCTTAAGTTTTAGACTCAAAGCCAATGCTACCACAAGACTTCCGGAGTCTCCTGGCCCTAACAGCATAGTTGAAATCAATGCAGTCAGCCTTCATGCCCATAGCTTTATGTCTGCCACAGGGCACTCATCTGTCATACAATCTGCCAGGCCTATTCACAGCAGCTCCGCAGCTATAAGATATTGTGTAATACAGACTTGTAGGTTCAGGGTCACAGGCTTATTTGGATGAAAGCATTTGAAATTAGATTTCCAAAAGCCACTAAGGTTAAATAACTTTGATTTGGGTCACAGGGCCCTCTGTAACCATGCTGCCAACAGCCATCTTTTTTATTTTCTGCAGTGTCCAATTTGCAATGCACAATTCCAACTAGAGGATTAGAGGAGTCATAGCAAAACAGCAGTAAGTTGATTCCCCTTCATATTAAGTATGACCTACTAGAAGAAAAGCACATTTAAATATTCTTCAGTATTCCAGTATAGATTAACACCTAATCATAATCTTACATTTATACAACACCATTCATCCCAAAGTGCTTTATAGTGACAGTTAAGAATCCTTTTACCATTGAAAGACAGCCAGCTTCAGGATGTGAAGCAGCTGCCAAGTAGACAGCATTTTACAAAGACCGTGGTAAGCATCATTCTGTAATGAAATTCAGCATGTGACCTCTCTCAGTACAAACCGATATGTTGGTTATTGAGGGAGGTCCACCACGAAGGACGCTTTACCCAGCCTGGAATGCAGTTCATCCACTTTGAGTCAGATGACAGATGGGTCACCTCTCCTAGGACTGGAACCTAGAGTTCCAGGGTTTGAATGAGGAAGAATCCTGTGATAAGAGACAAATGACTAAGCTGTCTTATTTTCCACTCTTCTCCCAGGCATGCAAGACATGGCATACTTTTGAGCCAAGTAAAATTGTCATTATAAATCACCTAATCACTTTGTCCTGAGAGGTCATTTTTACATATTACATTTGCAGCCTGTGTGGTTTCTGAAAGCATACCCCAAAGAACAGCATATATTCCAAGTAAACAGCCTTTGTGTACTATTATTTGGATTAAGGGAGTGTCTACAGGCTAGCATAATACAACTGTGGGAGCCTATTGTGCAAGAAACTATATGAGCATAGTGACTTGCAGACTCAAAGAACTTGCACTGTAAACAAAAAAGACAGCCAAGGGGTGGGAAGGGAAATGCACTGTTGGCTCCATCAGAACAGATCAGAGGTAAAGCCTGAACTGTATAAATCTGAAGAGAAGGCTCCTTAGTTCTGAGACTGCAGACAACTGGGCTTTGGCTGTTCCTGCAGCCGTGGAGCCCTTCTCCCTCCTATGCCAACATGTCTTTGCAAGTCTGTGACTACGTTCAGCTTTTCCAGCAGACATACTATCAATCATCTCATATTTGAAATAATCAAGGGTCCTTCTCTACACAAGTGTTTGAGTTCCACTGCATTATTAGATTTTTCTCCTGTTCTGGTGTACAGTCTGGATATAGCCTATAGCCAAATACCCATAAAAAGCCTATAAGAAAAGCAGATTATTCCAAACTTGTTTAAATACAGCATTTGCTGAAGATGTGCTGCTCAATTTATGCAGAATGCAATGACAAGAGAAAAGCAGGATGCCTGCCTTGAACAGCTCCTGTGAAATTATCTCCAAGGTCTTGATGCACCACCCAAAATTCCCTCTCATCAGGTAATAACTCTGTTATGCTTTGAAAAAGCAGCAACATTTCCAAGCAGCTATTAGCTGGGAGACATCTTGCTGCTTTGCAGTCTGCAGTGTCTCTTGTCATACTGCACATGCAACACAAGCCTAACAAAGTGAGTCTGCACTCTATTGATTTCTCATTAGAAAGCATGCCTCATATTTTGGACAGCAGTCAGGGGAAAAAAATAACTGGGAAATATAGCTGGTCAAATCTAAGCTGAACAATCTCTGGTGCTTTACTTTCTCTGTCATCTGAATCCTGACAGCTTGATGTGTCTGGGTAACACCACACAAGGGAAATTAGCACCATAGCACTCTCATGCAGTGCCATCTGCATGTCAACGTATGTAGAAATTTGGGCAGGCAGCTATAAAGCAACACTGATAGAAAGACTTGAGCATAGTGAGAAATGCAAGAGACCATTTCCTGTAGAAAAGTGCTAATTAAAAATAACCCAACATCACTCCAATGCGATGCAGCTACACTAGGATTCTTCCCTGCTGTGCTATGGCAGCTGCTTATTAGTTCATCCCCCTCTAGCATATGGCCTGTTTTGGGACAGGAATTCTCCACTAACAGAGGAGACAATGCTAGAAATACAGGTTTCGGGAATCTCATCTTAAGTGATTTAGAATCATAAACCCAAAGGCAAACTGATGCAATTTATGCTCCTGTTTTCTGGGCACATCTGACTGTTCTACACACAAAGGCAAACTAAGGAGAATTTAACATCATCTGATTTTTTTTCCTCTTCCTGTTATCTAGCTGCATCCCAGAGCCAATGCCATGCTCCAGCAATGCCTAGATGAGCAAAGGGGTTTGTGGCCCAAAGGGCACTGACAAAACTGGGAAGAAACTCACCCACCCTTTGTCTACACCTTTCAGAGCTTTTGCCAGTAGCTGTTCATTTACTAAAAACATACCTGTCTTAAAATTAAGTATAAATATATGTTTAGCTCTAAGACTAATGGAGCTTCAGCCAGAATGTATCTGGCTAGTTATGTTATGCCTGCAGAACATATCCAGACAGCTTTTTCAGACATTGGCAATGGAAGAGGCACAAGATGGCATACAGTCAGTACTCAAGTGTGAAACAAGCTGCTTCGAATTTGAAGAACGTCAGTCTTTAGTGAGTGTTGCAGGCAGGCTTCGGCCTAAATCAGAACAGTGTGTGATGCTTGAATCCCAAAAATATTGGGAGGCCAGCATAAATATGATCTGTGCCTAAAACAAAACAAAGAACCTGCTTCAAAAGCTGTGTATTCAAGCAAAAGCATACCAGAGTGCAAAGGCTACCTGATACAAGTTACGCGCCCTTTCAGTTATACCAGTTTTAAACTGCTTTAGAGATACTGACAGACTCACTTATGCAGTGATGGATCAAGAGAATAAGTAGATATAGGGAAATACCAGAGTCCTCTAAGAAATTGGTAGTTTGGACCACCAGAATGTCAAAGCTGTAATAGCTTTCTCCTAGGGTAGAGAATGGAAGGAGGCCTGTACGATCGGAGCATTGCTTGGTTAGAAGGACACGTGAGAGAACACAGGCTCACATTTGAGCACCTTAAGGCACCTTGTACTGGCCACTCTTTGAAAACCATTTATCTCATTAACTGGATCTCTGCTCCAGTTTGATGCAAGCATGCCAGTGATAACATGAATCTGTTGCTCCCTACCTTTGTGCCGCACTGA